TGACATATTGGGTCAACAGCCAGCAGGAAATAGTGCTGATCCATTATTGTCTCGTCATACTCATACAGATCTGTTATTGGATACTGGAGTTAGTAAGTTCAGATATAAACTTAAAATGAAGCTAAATTTAAATAACATATCAAAATTATATATATAAAAAACTAAACTTAAAAATAATAATACGTTTTCCTTGGCAACTAACTGAAATAAGTTAAAGAATTAAAATGACTAAAACTAAAACTGAAATAAAAAAATCAGAGTGAATATATCTCAGAGAGAAGGTTTGTAGTATCTCAAAAACTGAGGCTTTTGTTATTAAAGAGACAGTTCACTTATTTAATATGACTGAATTAATCTGACTTAATTAAGTTACATATAATTATTATTTTATTATTATTATTTTTATTTTTTAAGTTAAACCAAGTAGAAATAACTTATTCTGTGCTATTTTATGATACTGTTATTGTGTGTTTTATCTTATTAGCTTATTTATTTATTTATTTTCTGGGACAGTACCCGTCACCAAGAGTAGCCAGAAATAATGTGTTTTTTTAACTTTAAACCGCATAAACACATTTCATTACACCAAATACACAAAATAATGTTCTTTTTAGCAGCATCATATGACCCCTTTAAAGAATTAAAATGACTAAAACTAAAACTGAAATAAAAAAAATCAGAGTGAATATATCTCAGAGAGAAGGTTTGTAGTATCTCAAAAACTGAGGCTTTTGTTATTAAAGAGACAGTTCACTTATTTAATATGACTGAATTAATCTGACTTAATTAAGTTACATATAATTTTTATTTTATTATTATTATTTTTATTTTTTAAGTTAAACCAAGTAGAAATAACTTATTCTGTGCTATTTTATGATACTGTTATTGTGTGTTTTATCTTATTAGCTTATTTATTTATTTATTTTCTGGGACAGTACCCGTCACCAAGAGTAGCCAGAATATTCTTGAAGAAAAATAATTTAATCATCAATTTTTTGTTCCATAGAATAAAGTGACAAGGATCAGAAACAACATTAAGGTGAGTAAAAGAACACAGCATTTTCAAAAGGATAAATAAATAATGGTGATAATAATTCACTTTCTATAAAGTAAATACAGCATATGTAAAAGCAAAAGAAACAGAGAAAGTGGAGAGCGAGAGAGAATTAAAAAGAAGGAGAGGAGGAAGACGAGAAGAGGTGGTGAGGTTGTCAACCCCCAGCTCCTGACAATGCATCATCATAATGCAGAGGAGCGAGAGATAGAAGGAGTGAAAGAGAGGAAAGCACTGCACAGAAGAAGCCTCCCACGCACCGATGACTGCACAGATCCTCATTAGGGCACAGTGTGTAGGTGTTCCCCAGCTCAGAAACACAGGGGGTGGAAGAGAACGAAAGAAAGGGAGAACAAGACCTCCAGAGACACAGTGAAGAAAATGAGAGATAGCAAGACCAGAAAGAGAGAGAGAGAGAGAGAGAGAGAGAGAAAAGGAGAGAGAGAAAGGGAGAGAGAGAAAGGGAGAGAGAAAGATTTCCACCCACCTTGGCCAGATGATGCTCAGAGGAGAAACCCAGCCCATACACTGTGTTGGCACGGCTGTCTGCCCACTGCCCAAACTTGTGAGATGTCTTCGTGAAGGTCATGTTCGGGGTGATAGTGCTGTTTATTATTGCCTGTGAGATGAAGAAAAAAACTTCTTAGAAAAGCCTGTTAAAAACATAAGTGCGCACTACTATAAACAATCTGGCCATGAAGCATTTAAGACGAAAGCTTGAGAGAGCAAAACAAAGGCTAAATAGGGTATATAACATGGACTGACTGGCATATTGGGTCAAAAACCAGCAAGAAATAGAGCATAAAAGAGTGTGATCCATTGTGTATCATCATATTCGTGCAGATCTGTTATCTGAGATGTAGCCTTGAAGTCAGTAAGTTCAAATATGGCCTTTGATATTTCAAATGTTGTTATTGGTAACTAAAAATAAAACATTTTATAAAAATAAATTAAAGCTGAACAGAAATCTTAAAAACTAAATTTACAAAAGTACATAACAAAATTAAACTAAAATTAAAACGAAAACTGAAAATATTCAAAAAAAGTGAATTAAAAATTAACAAATAATAGTATATAAAAAATAAAGAAAATAACAAGGAAAGTGTGTCCAGCTGAATTAATTTAGTATTTTGTTAGACGGGTATAAAAAAGCTTAGTTTACCGCGGCAGCCATCGCGTGACGGCCTCCTCGTGTGAAGTGTAAAGACCATCAACTCTACCGTGCGACTCCACCGGGCAGGGACACCGGCAAATGATAAGTATCGTTTTTTATTTCTCCTCTTTCCTACTACTTGTTTCACTTCTGTTTCAGTTTTTATAACCATTTCTTACTATGTGTAAGTAAGTTGTTGTTTTTTAGCATGTAAGTTTGGCAGTGTTATTTTTTAGGATTACTGATAAACTACTGTCATTTGATTTGTATTATTTGTATTT